AAATGAACAAATAAACTTTGACAAACTCTGACTATTGCTTTGACACCAAAATATAGATTAATCCAATAGGTTTTTTGTTGAAACAACATTTTCAAAAATGACATTTAGGCAAATGTTAACTCAACGAATATATTTTTTTCGGTGTAGTACCAATAAATATAGTAACTATATTGATTCTTCATCATTATTTCAAATAATTTATTTGTTTTACTTTTTCCACATTTTTCCACTTTTTTATATAAATAACATAACTGAATGTCCTGAATGGTAACTAAAGTTTACTTGTTGGTTTTTTGATTTAGCATCTCAAAATAAACAAAAATCACTTTAAATGGCCCAAAGGCAAGAATGGATATTTGAGACAAAAACCTAAACTGTAGGTGAGGCAGATTTAGATTCAGCAGAAAAGACAAAATCCTATTAAACTCTTTATTCCTTTGTAATGTATGAAATTGCCACTATTATAATCTATTTAAAATATTAGTTTATTGTTACATAGGTATTCATCTAAATTAATTTTTAATTAGAAAATATGTAGTTTTCCTTTTAATATTTTTTAGTTTTTTTTTATCTAAAACCTTTCTCTAAAATGAATTAGTTAAAAATGGCTAATTTAATAGTTATTATAATACTATAGTGGCTGCTTTTTCACTTGTACCATGGTTAACCATGGAATATCATGGTATCCCAAAATTTAATAGCCAATTCTAATGAAAAATAGTCCCCTGAATCCGAAAATACCGTCAACAATTATGAAAGTGAAGCAGTTTTTGAGATATAGTCAATTCCATATTAAATAGAAAATTGACTATATCTCAAAAACTGTTCCACTTTTTTAACTTTTGACGACATTTTCGAATTCAGGGGACAATTTTACATTGAGAATTTTGGGATACCACGGTATTCCATGGTCAACCATGCTACAAGTAAAAAAGCAGCCACTAATAACTATTAAATTAGTCATTCATTTTTAGAGAGTTATCCAACATTGAATGTTAAAAACCATTTAAAATACCAGTCTTGAAAACTATAGGTATATTTGATAGTATCCTTCTTTCATCTTCAATTCATGCTAAAATTAAAAAAAATAATTATCTTGACAAGTAGGCGTTATGCTGACCAAATTAATCCCGATTTCGTGTAGGAATGTAGGACTCTACCTGTCGCCTTATCTTCGCACGTTTTTTGATAACGACCGCAATTTTGCGAGGGTGTTTTTCAGCGATTATGAACGATTGTTTAAGGAGAATTCGACATGTATACGGGTTATATTACGTTGAGTAATGACTTGGGCCGTTCTTGAATCTCCTCTCTCTACGGTTCGCGATAATGATCTTCGCAAACGTTTGGTTCGTGTTAATAAGAGGTTGCAGATTAAAACGCATTAATAACTCTCTGTGTTCAGTATTAATTTGTTTGAAAAAAAAAACAATTATAAATGTCCAGAATACATTGTAGTAATGATTGTGGAAGATTAAATAAAGGGACAATGTCTAAAGGAAGTGTGAATTTCAAAACTATAAAAGAGATTCTAAAACTCTTCGGTTAGATTAGATTAGATCTCCTCTATAATAAATAAATTCTGCAATACCTAAAATTGAACTTACAACGAACCACTTTCATTATCAATGAAAAACGTTTATTCAGAAAATGAAATATATTTCCAATCTTCATGTATCTCAGTCACTGAACTTCTATGGTAATTCTTTCAATACAACCTAAACTAAATAAAGAATATTGAAAAGAAACTAATTTTAATATTCCCACACAAACACATAAATATGCCCATAAAAATGCAAAAGAGTTTAATGTTGTGTTTAAAAATGTGGTAGTTTTCACGTATCAGCATAATTATATCGCTTTTAAAATATCATTTCGTAAACATTGCATTATAGGTTTATTTATACAAGTTTTACAAGTGACATTGGTAATTTAGTAGCAGTTTTAAAAATAAACAGTCTTCAGAACCTACAGGTACCGACATTATTGCATTAGAAACGATTTTTAAATTTAATTAACTAAGTTTAAGAATCATCAAATCAAAAAGGAGATGATTAAATTAATTGAGAACTTAATTAAAAAGTCTTGACATAATTTGGCTTCTTAAAACAATTAATTACGAACGATGTGCAGGTGATTCTTAATTAAACTCCGAAATTATCCCTTCTTGTCCTAACTTAATAAAGGTGTAACACCTTTAGTTAATGAACAATACTCGTAGAACATTGTTTTAGAAGAAGTTTCCACAAATTCATTATTATTATTATTTGTTGTGTCTAACGTCATAAAAAAATAATTATTCTTCAGTGGGTTTATATGGGAATGGTCAAAGATTTTACGATTGCGGAATCAGCAATATGGTTATGTTAACGGCACAATTTACGCCTACTATATGCAAAACTGCGCCCCATTCGTCATTCCAAATGGACGTAGATTTATTTTTATTTTGGCGAATGACATTTAACCTCTTTAATGGCTTTTAGCTTTTTATATTTGGTAATATGCTGAAAATGCTATTTATTTATATAAATACTATATATATTATAGTTATTTATGACATAAGGCTGAGAAGTGAGTTTTTTGTACTGAGCTCAGTTTGATTGGCCCCTTTTTGATTATTTTGCTGAAAAGTGGTCATTTTTGACGACTTTGAATCGCTGTATCTTGTTGCTGTTCATTTGATTTGTACAAAATTTTCAGGGTATACTAACAAAAATACGGTCTTTTTTTCATTATTAAATAAAAGGGCTTTAAAAATATTTTCTAGAAAAATCCTCGAACACGTAAACTGAGATATAAGTTGAAGTATTTTTATCCAAAATTTCATAAAGAATAATAAAGTCGTTTTAGAGAAAAATTATGGCCAACACTGTATATATTTATTAAATATAGATGTTTTTTGTAGGTAGGTACATTATACATATAAATTATTGTAATAGGAGCATCGGGGTATTAAATTACTTATCATAATATCATAAAATATAAACAAACAAAATATTTGCATTGCTCATGTTTTTTTATATTTTCACATTTTCATAAGCGTTTTCAACAAACATTTCAAAATATTTGACGTATACTATAGTGATTGGGTGTGTCACCCCCCCCCCTCCCCAATTTTATAGGAACGAACTTTAAAAAAAAATCAGTGCCGACTAATGCCGACTGTAGTTGCAGCTAATGCCGACTAACAGCTAATAGATTTGAATATTAGGTACTATACTAGTAAACCAAATAAATTGATCGTTTATTTTGTGAAGACTTTTACAAATTCGCAATCTTTTTGACTGCTCCTGTTAGGAGTCAGCTTCTTTTAAACATTCTTTTAGTGAATTAAAAAAAATATTTGATCATTTGAGATCATTTGCGCAAAAGGGTGATTGTAGATATAAATTTACCGAAGTTTCTTTTTTCTTCAAAGGATAAAGTAGACGAAATGTAAAGTAGTAGACTGGGTAGAAATCTGAACAATGATTGTACGTCAATAAAAATTTTATTTCTAAAAGGTTGTTTGGATTTATTAAAAACGAATTTGCACCAAGTATAATTGATCCTTAATCTTACACCTATAAAGAATGGATGCAGTCGGCAAAATCTAAAAAAGTCGGCATTTTATTAAAACTCACCCCCCATAATTGAAACCTTCGCTACAACCCTGAATGTATTTATAATAAAGGTGCGGCGCGCAGCAGCGTGCGGCGTGGTAGTAGTCATTTTTTGAAATGAAAAGTACACGATCTATTTATAATGAAAACATAGCTAATGGCATGCAATTAGAGAATAATATTTGAAAAATTATGGGGTAAACATTTTCACGGATGCCAGTTTCAGATTTGGCAATGTTTTATGGCCCCCTCGCTCGCCAGACTTGTCAATATGTGACTTTTTCTTATGGGGCAATTGCTCACTTCTGGAAAGAGTGAATGACAACTTTTTTTAATGCTTAAAACATCCGTGACAATGTTCAACACCTCAATGACATCATTTCTGCGATTCTAAATAAAAGACAGTGACATTTTAGACGAAAATAAGTTTTTTGATATCATTAGTATACCGCGGAACTTTTCCAGCGATGACGTCAAAATGTTTACAAAAACCAGAGTTAAAAAAGTAAACACTTATCTTTATGCATGTGCAAAAAATAACTATAATGTCACAATATAATCATTTTTATGTAATCGCTGGAAAACTTCCACTCTATAATCATTAGAATCATGAGGAAACGCATTCGTTCTTTGTAACAGTGATAAATACGTCAAAACTAAAAAAAAAATTTGCAGTTAAAGTTTTCCAGTAAAAGGAAGATACTTAAGTCTAAGCTCCATTTCCTATGATAAAAGCGTTAACTGTATTTTGTCAATTTTGCGTCTTAAGGCTAGAGCGGAATGTCACGTACGTGTACAAAGTAAAAATTATTGAAGGACATCAACGCTCTTTTATAGCAAAAACAGTTTTTTAAAAACCTAGTTAAAATTAAAATATTTCATATTTTATTTCTTCATTTATAATAGGTAACCGATTAAAAAAATATTTGAAGTTCTACGATTTTTGATACGAAAGGCTTCTTGCCTTTTTCTTAGTTTCATTAGAAAGTTAATAGTTATTTTTCTTTGTACCGAACATTTCTGTCAAATCATTTTTATATAAAAAGTTGTTCCTAACCAATTGAACCTATATAAAAAATATTGGATAATTTAAACCCACAATATAATTCTGATCTTATTTAAAATATTTCCTTTAACCTATTTACTTAAACATATACATATACTTTTATTACAAAATATAATTATGTCATGGCCTATTTATAAAGTCTAAGAGCAAAAGTAATACCTACACATTAATTTACATTAGGTTTGTGTACATGCATTTTACGACTATGCATTTGGTCCAGTGCCAAATTCACTTTATAGTTAACCAATAGTTCCCCAAATAAAACCTTCATATGTTTACATGCCGTAATTGCTTTGCAAACACAAACCAGATATAAATTATTTTTCTTCCAGGTTCTTCAGCAAGCTGGAAACGTGGAACGACTGGGCAGATTTTTATGGTCGCTGCCTGCTTGTGATAAACTACACAATAACGAGTCAGTACTCAAAGCTAAAGCAATAGTCGCCTTTCACAGGGGCAATTTTAAGGAACTGTACAGGATACTGGAAAGTCACCAGTTCAGTCCGCACAACCACGCCAAGCTACAAGCACTATGGCTCAAAGCACACTATATTGAAGCTGAAAGGCTGAGAGGTAAGAAGAAATATAAATGACGCTTTGGTCCAGAATGCCATAACATTCATGAGTTGTTGGATCATCATCATCATTTTCATAGAAAAGCAATAAGAACCAATCTGAGACGGTTCAACAACTTTTTAAATTTATACTTTACCATCAAAATTGTATAAAACCTAATTTTAGGTAGACCCTTGGGAGCAGTGGGCAAATACAGGGTACGGCGGAAATTTCCTTTGCCCCGTACCATATGGGACGGCGAAGAGACTAGTTACTGCTTTAAGGAGAAATCGCGAAGCGTTTTGAGAGACTGGTACCAGCACAACCCCTATCCGAGTCCTAGGGAAAAAAGGGAACTAGCCGAAGCGACCGGTCTCACAACGACGCAAGTATCAAATTGGTTCAAAAATCGACGACAGAGGGATCGAGCTGCCGAACACAAAGATGGGTAAGAAAATAATTCTGTATTTTTTATATTTTGCTTAAAAAATAAAACATTTATACTCTAATAACATTGGGTTTATAAACATCATATTCAAGAATGATAAAAGTATGGTCTTGATTAGGGTGTCCCAAAAAAAAAGAATATTTTTTTTCTTCTCGTCTCTTGTGAAAATATGTTGGTTTGTCATGTTTTAAGAGCCCTGTCAAAAGATCAGCACCATTAAAAAAATTTTAGGGGTCGCTCAAAATTTTTAAAAATTACCAAAATCGTCAAAAATTGGATTTTTTTTAATTTTAATTTTTTTTCTCGTTCTGATATTATTTTTTAATTTAAAAATAATAATGATTCTGAAAATTTCAAATCGATATTTTAATTTCTAAAGGTCGCTCAAGATTTTTTTAACTTTCAAAGTAGAGTATTTTGAATGTTTTCGAGCGACCTTTGAATATAAATATCAACGAACTTTTAGCGACCTTTAGAAATCAAAATATTGATTTGAAATTCACAAAATTTTTATTATTTTCAACCTAAAAAATAATATCGAGACGAGAAAAAGAATTAAAATAAAACAAAAATTCAATTTTTGACGATTTTGAAAATTTTTAAAAATCTTGAGCGACCCCTACAAAATTTTTAATCGAGCTGATATTTTGAAAGGGCTCTTACAGCATGATAAACTAACATATTTTTACAAGAGACAAGAAAAAAAAATATATTATTTTTTTTGGGACACCCTAGTCTTCATATAGTAAATCCCTTTACAATTTGTTTTAAAATGGTGGTCTGGATAGCAAATATTTCCTTTAACTTAAAACAATATAAAAAAATATCCAGTGGACATTTCATTATCTAAAAAACAATGCTTTAATATTCAGAAATGTTAAAATTATCGGTTTTGTATACCTATTAAAACTTTATATTTAAAATATGTTTTGAGATGGCGTTCTGGAAGAAAGCAGAAGTTTGTGTATTGTCATTTTAAGGACATGTTATACTAGAGTATTTTAGAACAAAGAAATGTTAAAATTATCGGTTTTGTATACCTATTAAAACTTTATATTTAAAATATGTTTTGAGATGGCGTTCTGGAAAAAAGCAGAAGTTTGTGTATTGTCATTTTAAGGACATGTTATACTAGAGTATTTTAGAACAAAGAATGTTTTTATAATCATTCTATTAAGGAATTTTCATATTTTAAAACCGTTACGTTCTTTCTTTACAATATTTTCCAAGATGGCGGTCTGGATAGCTAGTATCATTTTTTGAACATTAAGGCTAATTTGTGCGGATATTGATTGAGTTTGTTTATTTTAACGATGATGTTTATCCACTTTTTATCGACTGTTGTGTAACAAAACAGATAGTGTAGTTTTTGGCGCATAAAGAAAGCAGAGGCTCGCGTAAAACAATGGTTTCGCGTTACAGAAATAAAGTTGTTTGTTATTTAACAACTGTACGCAGACAGCGTAGGCTCGGTTGGTAACCGTGGATTAGCGCAGGAAACAATGAAACAACAACAACGTGGAAAGGTAAAACATCCCCCTTTGGTAATTTTTGGCTCATCGCGCCGGGATATCGAATAATGATTGTTGTACGGCTTCCGTTCGTAATTTGATATTGCGAGTACGCTTAGCTTGGCTGCCTTTTCAAAACTGATTAAGTCAATTAATATCGATCCAAGCCATGGGAAAATATTTGTCTGAACAACCACTAAACAGGTACAACGAAGAAAAATAAATTTAGAAAACTACCTAACAAGTTTACTTTATGAGTGTTTTTAACATTTTTACAAAATAAAAATGTTAATACATGTAAGAAATTTTAATTAATTCACTCAGAATTTTTTTAATAAATATAACAAAAAAAGTCTTAATAAAGTTAAGATCCGTCCAACAATTGCTTTTGTTACGGCAAAAAGATCATTTTTATAAAAATTATTTATCTACAAACGCTGCTTTCAGTAATAGCATTTGCATTAATTATAAAGTAAATTTACGTTATGTTTATATAAATAACACTCTTCCAAATGCAGAAACGCATTGATAAATATAGTTATTAATATTTGTCAAAAAAAAACAGTTCTATACCGTTTACAAAAACGTTTTGTAGTATTAATGAAACCCTAATGATATTATTCATATAAATTTTGTAAATTTTACAAATGCCTTTTTGTTTAAAATAAAACTTTTTTTATAATATTAATAAAATTTATGTATATTTAACAACAAATTAATTGTTAATTCAATAAACTATTTTAATTGTAACAATGGTCAAATTTTCAACGTACTGTTGGGTATTGGGTAGTTTTTTTTAAATAATTAATTAATAATTAAAACAAATTATTTATTATAACAAAAAAATTAACTCATATTATATGATGTACAAAATAAAAAAATATGAACTCACTTTTTAAACAACAAGTCTGCTTCGTTTATAGAATATACCTTAAATGTTTCTTTTAGAAAACGTCGAAATTTTAATTTTCTTAGTGATCTTTTTGATATTTTTATTATGCTAAATTTTACCACACATCACTCACACAAGTGAAATCAATAAGATTATAACACAGACTGGATTATAAAGTTATGTTCACCAAGGAGAGCGCTGGCCCTTTCCCCCTCTTTTTAAGGGAAATAACAAAAATTTTGTTACCATTGCAAAACAATATTAAAAGTCTTTTTATGGCAATAAAATATTTTTTCTACTCCCACCTTTAAAACGACCTTTATTGTACATGTTTCCATGACACTAAGTGACCTTTTAAATACACATTGAAAAGTTGTGGCTTTATGGCGTTTTAGTCACGGGCTGAAGTTAGCAACAGGTTTTTAGTCACGGGCTGAAGTTAGCTTTAAGTTAGTTGACAGTTGTCAAATGTCATACAATCGTTAAAATAAAGTGCCCTTCTTGTAAAATAATACTAAATATGAATATTATTTTATTATCGCAATACAAAAATACAAAAGTATTAAATAGTTTCTCAACGCCAATATTTGAAAAGTTTATATGAACATTGTACTGACCTTTTAATTTCGCCGAAAGTAAAGTGGATAACTTAAATTCGAGCTCGGACTCCACCGTAAAGAGCTCATAAAACATTTTCTTTACTTTAACTGAGAAAAACTCTTGTTAATCGATTTTCAACGAAAATATTTCGATTTATAACCTTTATAACATAGAAAAATTTGACATTTGACGGTACCTAACACAGATTCCCCTATTGTTTCATAGATGGCTCTCTATACAAATTTTTGCACAAACTTCCAAGTATGTGAATTTTTGATTTAAATCATTTTAAGATAATAAGTATTTGTCGTAGAAAAGGTATAGTATGCACCTCGTTTATAAACTTTTCTATACACTCATTAATTTAAGAACTCGCTCGCAAGCTCGCTCGTGCCTAAATTAAATTCGTGTATAAGATAGCGTTTATCAAACTTGATACATAATATACCATTTGTTATTGTTATTGTTAAGCTATTACCTAACTGAAATAAAATTAATTTGAATTACAACGATAGTAATTTAAAAAAGACAAATATGCCATAGTAAAATGAACAAATTTCACAAACAACTATAGATTTAACAAATACATTTTAAGTTCGACAAAGATTTAATATAAACATAAATTATTTCTTATTGCCATGACAATATGATAACAACTATTACCTTGTTGGATGAACATTTTTTTATAAAAGCTCCACATTGCTGCTTCATTATAGTAAATGGGAATTTTATTAACAGTAAAAAAAGTTTATTCTGTAAATAAAAATAATCTCATTACTTTGACAAATCGTAGGTTTTTGTACCAAAAAGACACTGAAAATTTAATAAAAAAAGGTACCTTTAGTGGTACATTTTTTATATCCATTACAATTTTAAATTTAAGTTAAATAATATTATTTTATTAATCGCTTACAAAATTAGTTTCATTATTAGTGCATGTACATTTTTCTGAGTGTTGAAGCAAATTAGACAAGGAATTCATGAATTATTACTTTTCAAGTACACCCCACAACTTGTGGCCCATTTTTCAAATGTAAATAGTATGGTAACATTTTAAATTCTATTTCTAGTAAGTTAAGTATCACATAACGGGTTTAGCTGGACCTGGAATCTGAGAATAGCCGTGTCGGCGCGCTATTTTAAACGACTACAATACTAGTCAAGTGAATTTAATACGATACCTGATGATGTGTTGGAAACGTGAAATGTGACTAAAAAATATATACGCATCATAAATATCTGATTGTCTTTAGAAGTATGCAAAAATTTAAATGAGCCCAGTGATATCATGACGAGACCACCTTTTCTATATAGCTCTTTTTGAAAGTTTGGTAAATATTTTTAAAGAGTTAATCTTGTTGGGGCATATTATTTAAATTTATTCTGAAATAATTAGATATTTACCATAGCAAATACAGTGTTATTATTATAATGATGATGCAAAATTAAAAAAAATAACAAACGTTTAGAGCGCTACTTAATTAAGGTCGTTTTATAATTTATAAACTCTATTTTTAGACATAATTTCCCATAACACAAAAGCCCGATACTATCACTGAGAATTTAGCGAAGTATTGTGGATAATATAATAATTATTAAACCATGTACTTATTTTATACATAATAATATGTTATTAGATATTATAATGCGATTAAATTTGTTTAATTGGTTGTTTATTTATTCTGAATTAAACTACCCGATAAATTTAACGAGGAAGTGTTTAAACTGCCCAACGGAATTAGGGTTTTGTTTTAAGTACTACCACACGTATAAATAGAAATTTTCTAGACTATTTACACGGAAAAGTAGGTTAAAGAATCAAAATTAAAGCGATGTTTGCGCTGAAATCGTTTTGGTTATTCGGTTTCAGGCCGCGGTGGCGCTAAAATTAGCACATGACTCAGTCGCAGGAGGCCCTGATACCCGACACTCTAGATCACGATCTACGCAATCGTGTAACTTGAATAAACCGCGATTAGAGCCATTGGAATAAACCA